TACCCGGCGCTCGCTGGATGATTCGCGCCCTGCGTGCCGGGCTCCTCTTGCACAATTGCTGGCTCTGCGGCTCCGTGGGGGAGCGAGGGTAAGAGGAAGCGAAGGGGAAACAACCCAGAAACTTTCCTCTTGGACTGTGCTCAAGTGAGGGAGGGAAGTTCCCTGGTGCCTCCCTCCTAGACACGTCTTGCTTTTCAGAAGCCTACTCCAAACCCATACAAAGCAAGAGTTAGTTTATCATCCACACAGCACTAAAGTAGTACTGACAAATACACTGAGATGTTAAATAGATGGCGGCTATTTCAAGATTGGTTATTGCCACACTCGATTAAAAAATACTGCAACTGCTTTTTAATAGACCTCCTTTGTATGTAAGAGTTCTCGGAAATTGAATACTTTGGGATAGGTTTTAAAATGTTTGGTAATGAAGTAAAGAAAACCATTTGCAAGGCTGTACACTGTCACAAGTTTAGAAATAACATTTGCCAAAGACAGGGCATGGAGCCGGGCTTTTGTAATATTTAATGGGGAAACTGTTTTATCAACCAGTTTTAGATAGGAGAATTGTATTTGAGTAAGGTGTATTTTGACATCCTGTAGAGGGACCCTGATAACAGCTGATACAGTAAGCCGAGATTTGAATGCAATCAGCATAAACCCAGTAAGCCACTCTTTATGTACAGTCCCATTCCTTTGCGTGAAAAGTTCGTTCCTTGTCTAACAGAGATGCTCCTTGCCATTGCAGAGTGCTTTGCTTTGCGAGGTGTTTTTCTGAAGCACTTCTCTGTCTGGGTTGTTCTTGTCTTTTCACTAGAACCTAATAACTCGTGCCCCATTTTTAAATTTAGATATAACCGTCAGGGTTTTCCTTGAGTTAGTGGAGTGTGTATGCACATGCATGCTTTGAAAGGTTAGATTGCTTTAGGTTTTTCCCTCTAGTGAAAAAAGAGTTAATAAAACAGAGATAATGATCAATTGATAAATGGCTATTGAACCACATAGATGGTGTTAGATTGCTTCTTTGGCACTAGCCCATTTCCAAGTAAATTTGCATCTAAGGAGACTTTAAGTGGTGAAAAACATTTAAGATTAAAAAATAAAAGCAAATTACATGAAAATAGGTCAGAATTATGAAAATAGTTCGAATTTCTCATAGAGGAGCTTGTTTGAGCAGCCTATCAGATGTTTTCTGTGTAGCTGTTTGTGGGGGATACAGAGGTCTGTTTTGTGTGTACCTGTATGAATGCATATGTATAGTTAACATCAGTGACTGTGAGGAGAATAAATATATAGGGAAGACATTTATGCTTAATGATGCCCATAAATAGAGTCTTACAACAAAGGAAGAAAATCACAATTTAAAAAAGTATTGTGATCTATTTTATTGCAGTTTATTATTTTTTGTAGCTGTTTTGATATAGTTAGTGATACATAGCCTTCCATTTATTTTCATGGCTACTAAATATTACCTTGTGTGCATTTTGGAAGTCATATAGCAGGGGATATGAATTTACATGTGTGTATGTGCTTTTCTTTCTCTTTCAAGGTTGTGTAAGCTAAATTCAACTCTGTCTAAATATAAAAGTCTGTTCTGTTCATGTTTAGTGTGTGTGTTTTCTTTATATGTAGTTCATCAGTGCTGGTTCAGTGTGTGTGTGTGTGTGTGTGTGTGTGTGTGTGTGTGTGTGTGTGTGTAGCACTTCCTGAAACGCTATCTCTTAAAGCCAACAATTTTGAGAAATAATAGTTTCAATACCCACATTAAGCCAGCTTTTACTGAAGGTAAAAGTTTTTCCAATTTAATCAGGTATGCAGAATTCTGTGTATCTAATTTTTAGGACAAAAAGGGTTTTTTGTTTTAGATAATTCATTTCTAACTAAAAATTTAGCTTATGAAGGGAATAAAATCTATTAGATACATTTTTCTACTAATTTTATAGTAGGATAAAACTAACATTTTATTGACTACTTTATTAAGCATTAGACAAGACTAACTAGTAGAACCAGTGTAAGATATGTCAAGACCGAGCTGTAGAGAGGTCACCACATATGGTGTTTAGCTACAGAAAACGTATGCTTGGGCATGTCTGATGAACACTTAAGTTTAATGATCTAGGTCTGGGTCTTCTAAAGGTAAGCTAGGAAGGTGGGCTGGAACACTCTTTAACTGGTGTCTCACCTGACTGAAGTTAGATATCTTTCAGTGTAAATCCTACCTTCTATCTAATATTAACAAATGATTTAATGGTCTAAAGACTCAGACTCAGTAGAATTAAATATGTTCCCCTTAAGGCTTTAGATATGGCTTCTTGGCTTCATTTCCCTATCTTACATTATTTTCTCTAATATTGAAGTATATAATTGTTTTTTTTTTAGAAAAAGAAGATTTTTCTTGTAGACAGATATTTAAGGACCTTGAAAGGTGTAACTGTTGACTTTTGTAACTGGTAGTTCTGGATTCAGTTTGATCAGTCACAAATCAGTAATGCCCAAAATCATTTCCTCTTTTTCCTTATCTCCTATAGCCCCAAACCTTATTTTGCTCAGTATAGATTGATAAGGTATTGTTAAAAAGAAAAGGGGGTGGGTGGTGTTAGTGGAGAAAGGAGCTTGTTTTGGAATTTTTTTAAATTACACTTTAAAAGGTAATTTTGCTACCTATTTATACTTATTTGTATATTTGAGAAAGTAGCAAATAAAATCTTTATAACTTCCCCCAAGAGAAGGTATGATCTATTTGAAATCTTTTAAAGAAATGACACTGTGCAGGTAAATGGTGATAGTGTACTTTTCATGTATTAGCAAGGTGTTCATGCCTTTTATTATTGCGGAGGTATAGTTAACCTGTTTCAAATAAAATGTAGATCCCTTAGTAAGGCCTCTTCAGAGCAGAGTGAAATACTAAGTTAGAATTACAAATGACTCTGTGCATCATTATGTAGTAATTTAGGATTCACCCAATGATGTAACAAAATTAACAACATAATTTCATTGTGAAACTGTGTCTTATTAAAGAACAACTGTCTGACATTCTCTTACAGTTGCTTTATTTAACTTCATGCAAATATTATTAATAGTGACATTTTTCTATTGTGCATTAGATTCTCTCATTAGCATGATGTGTTAGTTATCACCAGAGAAATCATCTCCTAGATAGGTGAGGGACAAAATCGAGAAAGCTAAAAATTAAGTCAGTGATTTACATTAATACCAGACCATCTGCTCACTAGAGATAGGGCCGAGTAAACTTTTTGACTAGTATAAAACCCAGCACTTTCCTGTGAAATGATTTAAAACTATTTAATAAATAAATAATAACATTTTTGGAATCCATTTACAAAAGGGCTCTATATGAATTTTTCTTTTAGTAGTCTTTTACTACTTTCAACTCATCAAGACAAACACAGTGTCAGTCATAGGATTTGTATTTAAAATGAAAATGATGCATTTTTCCTGTCTTCCTAACCCTCCAAAAATGATTCGAACATTTATTCACTAACAATTTAAAAGAGTCATATACAGTATTTCTTTTAAGTCAGATGTCTTAATTATGTGTTCTGGCTTGGTTCTTCTTTATAGTTCATGTAATATATTTTTATTCTAAAGATTCTCCCTCAAAAATAGACATCCGTTTTCACATAGGATGAATAGTCTTATTTAATCAGTGCCTAAGTATAGCAGTTGATAGTTAATGGTCTTTGAAAATGACTTTTATTGCCAGGCAGCATCCATCCCCAGGTTTCCTCTCCATTTTCTCTTTCTTCCTTTTTAACTTTTCCTTCTAACAGTTGGTGTATTTGGGTGATCATATCCTACTTTTAAAAAAGACTAAATTGACAAAACCAACCCTTATGCTAAAATAAGTGTTTATATTTGATGGAAAACAGTTTTAGCTTGTTGAATTAGCATGCTGCTAGTTCTGTTTTGGTTCCTTCTCTAATTTGAAGTGTGTGCTTTATTTTGAAATGTTCATAATAGGTACATATTGAAATGTAAGGTTTAACATTCATTTTAATATTGTAGCATACAGGTAGGAATATTTGGATAATTGTTACAGTAGTATTGAACTGGAAATTGTAGCTAAGATGCAAGTACCTATGTTTCAGCCTTTACTTTCAAGTTTGTGTTAGCTTGTGGACTTCACTTAACAGGAGCTGTGTAGTGTGTAATGAAAGGGGAATGCAGGAGACCATGTGATGTTTCATGTGTGTGTTACTGTAACAAAGCATTCACAAACATAATCTCAGATGAGTACACACATGTATTAACTCATTCACAAATTTAAAGCTCATTTTTGACATGCATCAAGTAAAATGAATTTGAGCATAATTG